GCAATGGGGTTCACAATGCTAGGAACGACACCCAAGTCACCCAAAAACTTTCTGATCCAAACAGCTCCTTCGCTGTATCCGATGCGGCATTGTACTCAGCCTCTGTAGTAGAATCTGCTATGGTGGCCTGTTTGGAACTCTTCCAACTGACAGCGCCTCCATTCAAGCAGAAGACATAGCCTGATTGCGATCTGTAGTCATCTTGGTCCGATTGGAAACTAGCATCGGTGTAACCCTTTACAGCGAGCTCATCTTCCAATCCACCATATATCAAGAACAAATCCTTAGTCCTTCTCAAGTACTTAAGGATATTCTTGACCGCGATCCAGTGTGACTCTCCTGGATCCGACTGGTATCTGCTCGTAATGCTTAACGCGTACGATACATCCGGCCTAGTACATAACATGGCATACATGATAGATCCTATTGCCGAGGCATATGGGATCCTATCCATTCGTTCTCGCTCATCACGTGTCTTAGGACACTGAGTCTTGCTGAGAACAACACCATGACACATCGGCAAGAGTCCTCTCTTTGACTCTTGCATTCTGAACCGATTCAGAACTTTATCGATGTATGTACTTTGACTTAGGGCAAGAAGCCTTCGAGATCTATCTCTATAGATCTTGATGCCTAAGACATAGGCAGCTTCTCCTAAGTCCTTCATGGAGAACTGTGTTCCTAGCCAAGACTTAACGTCTTGCAAGGTAGGAACATCGTTTCCTATGAGCAGGATATCATCCACGTATAGCACCAGGAAAACAACTGTGCTCCCACTGGCCTTCTTGTAAACACATGGCTCATCTTCGTTTTGAGAGAAACCAAACTGTTTGATTGTCTCATCAAACCGAAGATTCCAGCTTCTTGAAGCCTGCTTCAGTCCATAAATGGACCTCTGAAGCTTGCACACCTTCCCCGGACTCTCTGGATCGACAAAACCCTCGGGTTGTATCATATATACATCCTCAGGTAGGTTCCCGTTAAGGAACGCAGTCTTGACATCCATTTGCCATATCTCATAGTCATAATA